TTGGGGTGCTGCCAGGATCCAGAGGATTGAGGGACTTGGGGGTTCTGTGTTGCACCTCCAGATTCAATGAAGGAAGCATTATCCTTTCACCCTTGATACTGTATTTGATCCTAGAAGACATCCAGACCGAAATCAAACGTCAGTTATCCAGAACCGACTGCTGCTCAACCACTCAGGGGACACTTCAGAAGAGGGACAGCCATGGCAACTGTGTCTTTCACGCTGGCTGTGTGGCTTCTGCAGCTGACCATAAGACAAGGTGACTTATAGGGTTTGGGAAATGCAGAAATCCCCTCCATGCAGCCTTCGCTTAGGGGATAGGAAGGGAATCTGGAGCGATAAAAATATTTTAAATAAAAAGCTTGCCACTACATTTCTTCCTTGTAGCTCAAAGAAGCTTCTGTAGGGCAGTGTTTCCCAACCGGTGTTCCGCGGCACACTAGTGTTCCGCGGAACGTTGCCTTGTGTTCCGTGGGAGGGAGGCGGGCGAGTCGGGCGGCGAGAGGCGGGGCGGCGGCGGCGAGCACACGCAGGGCGGCGAGCGAGCTCCCTCCCACATCCCATCGCCACTCGCTTCGGCCGGCCTACTGGAGGAAGGCGTGAAAACCTTGCGCATGCGCAGGCCTTCCGCCTGCGACAGCCCAGTAGGCCGGCCGAAGCGAGCGGCGATGGGATGTGGGAGGGAGCTCGCTCGCCGCCCCGCGTGTGCTCGCCGCCCGACTCGCCCGCCTCCCTCCCACGGCACACCAGCCTACCTCCGTGGGAGGGAGGCGGGCGAGTCGGGCGGCGAGAGGCGGGGCGGCGGCGGCGAGGAGAGGCCGCCCAGCGCGGGGCTCTCGCCGTCTGCCTGTCTGGCTGCTTGCGAGCTCGGCGGGCAGCGCTTCCGCCCGCAGCGCCCGCCTCGCGGCTCTCATTCCCTGCCCCTGCCAAAGCTCACCCAGCAAAGCCGCGCTCTCCTTCCTGCCTCGCTTTGCTGCCTCCTCCCCCCCCCACCCCCAAAGCTTGGAGGTTCCCCGGCAGGAAGGAGGGAACTTAATCCTCTCCAAGGGCTGCGGAAAACAGACATGCAAATAGGGGCTTGCCAGCTCTTCAAGCGCCGCCGGCTTTCTTCGGGAATTACCGCCCGCCGAGCCCGGTAACGCTGACAGGCCGAGCCGCGGGGCTTGGCAACGCAGCCGGCAGAGTGTGGGAAAGGGCGGCCGCCACGCGCCGGGCAAGGCGAGACTCGACGGGGAGGACACCGGCAGCAGCGCCCCCCCCCAGAAACCCGCTCCGGGCAGGTAATTCACAGAGAGTGGACAGAAGGAAGCCTTAAAGGGCTTCAGCCTCCCAGAGTGGCGGGGAATAATAATAATAATAATAATAATAATAATAATAATAATAATAATAATAATAATAAAAAAAATTGACAGGGGGTGTTTTTCTAGGTGAGGGGGTGGGGACTGTAATAACAAAAAAATCAGCTCTATATCAACCGCTGTTTTGCAATGAGGAATTGCAAATAAGGAAGATCAAAAGGAGAATGTTTTTTGGGGGGGACTCTCTTCCTCTTCCTCCTCCTCCTCTCGTTCTTGCTCCTCTTCCTGGCAAAAGGGCTGCTGAGACCCCTTCTCTCTTGGGTGCCGGTGGGTGCTGTGACGTTGACGCTGCTGTGGCAAGTGCCTTTACTTAGCAGAGTGCATTCCCCTTTACACAGGAGGGGAGGGAAAAAAATTGAAACTTACACTTTCGTGCGTCCCTCCCGGCGCGACGCTGCGCGCTGACGTCACGGGGCTGTAATGGTGGTGTGCCTGGAGATTTTTTTCATCAAACAAGTGTGCCTTTGCCCAAAAAAGGTTGGGAAACACTGCTGTAGGGGATCTCACATTAACTACATCTTAACCTCAGCAAGGTTGATGCATCTTGCACCTTTAAGCCATGCAAGACAAAGGTGGGAAGCTATCAAAACAGCATTTCTCCTTCACACAAAATCACACAAAAAAATATTGTTGCTTTGAGGAGGAAAGGAAACCACATGCTCAGCATAACACAGAATTCTTATTTCTAAGAGCAAAGGATTTTGAGAGTCAAGTCTACCTGGCTTCATCATGTGTCCCTCATTCTAAACTGAAAGAGTGGAGGGGCAAACTTGCCCTCTACTAAACTTAGAGGGAATAATTATGCTAGGAACTTTCTCTTGTACCCCTGCTGCTGCTAAGTAGCGGCATCTAAAAGCTCTGAGAGCCTTTGCTCTATTGCAGCCCTAGGGAACGCACCCCCGTTCACATTGCTTGCCAATACTGAATACCCACCAGACCTGAACTGCCCACATCTCCTCACAACTCCTTCAAGCCCCACCCCATAGCCATCTTCTCCAAGGAGCCATGGCACTTTCAGGGGACATTTTTAGGGGGGGGCTCCATGTTCAGAGGGTGTTCAGCTCTGTTCCCTGGTGCCTTACAACATTGTGTGTGCGACCTCAGGATGTTACATCAGGTCCCCACAAACCTCTTTAGAAGTTCGTGCCTCTGCCCTAGCCCATTTCCTTACAAGATATATATCTTGTGCAGACACATTCACATGAAAACATGGATCTCAAAAAAAGGGGGGGTACTACAGTTACCGTATTTCTCACTCTATAAGATGCACCTGACCATAAGACGCACCTAGTTTTTGAAGGAGGAAAACAAGAAAAAAAATATTCTGAATCCCAGAAGTAATCCCTCTTGCTGTTCTGGCTTCAGCGAAAGCAACGCAAAGCCTCTTCAGCACATTGGGAGGGACGCTCCGGCTGCCCTGAAGAGACTTTGCGCTGCTATCCCAGAAGCCAGAACAGCAAGAGGGATCACTGCACAGCAATCCCTCTTGCTGTTCTGGCTTCAGCGATAGCTTCGCAGCCTGCATTCACTCCATAAGACGCACACAGATTTCCCCTTACTTTTTAGGGGGGTGCATCTTATAGAGCGAAAAATACGGTAATTGGGAGCTTCTTGCTTTGGTTATGGCTTGCATAAAGGAAGAAAAAATGCGTACACACATAAGCAGATACATGAATTCCTGGAATTGGCCTGTGTGACAAGGTCCCTTCCCCTTGTTCCTACATACAATCCTATGCTGTATCTTTCTTCTACAATATTTCTTACCTGAAGTATCTGCTTTTTCATTTTCCTCAGGTGCTGCCAGCTCAACAGCAGGTAAGAGCAATTCGTTATATTGGAAGCATTTCACCCAAGGAGATCAAAACCAAACGAGGACTACTAAAATCAGAGGTCATGTTATCCAATCTCCTCACCTCAGATAAGATACTTCTTAATGTGCCACATTAATATGAAGACAGTAGATCCAAATCAAGCTGGTTCCAGCGCATTACAAGGATAGAGCAAGAGGTTTCTCCCATTCCAGGTGCTGTTGCGTGGTTTTCAGAAGCAATGTCTTCTAGATGACCAACTTCCTTAAGACATTAAGCCAAGCCAAACAGAGATGGGGAAGCTAGTCCGTCCTCAAGGCTCTCCCCATTTCATGTACCCTCCAAAGGCCACATCTCTCTCTCCAGCCAGGCTCCACGCTGTCCTTGAGTGGGTCTGTCTGCTTGGAAAGCATCCTTGAACCATATTGGTGCCTCTTCCTTGCCAGAAAAGATGTGGTGGGGGAATGTAGAGACCGCTGGACTTTTGTGTGGCTGGAATGTACCTTTCTCCACAAAGATAACAGTCTTACCCATTCCTTTGCCCACTTTGCCTGCAACTCCACCCACTTAGCTAAAGAAATGAAGGCCCCCATCGAGTCTCTCACACAAAGAATCTTAATCCCTGACCCACAGAAACTTGAAACCCCAAGATTTTAGGAGGTTCTGCTTCCAGCTCTGGTGACAGAAGAGTTAGTGGAGAAAGTTCTGGACTGAGAGCTCGGAGTCCAGAACTCAGGGATTCCATTGCCACGTCTATGACTAGAGCTGGGTGGGAAATTTGATTCAGATCACATTTAAAGATGAACCTACCTGGTTAGCATTTTCTGAAACAACACATGAAATTAAACATAGCTCTCCTTCCAAATTCTCCCTTCTCCAGAATTCGCAGTGCAGTTCTCCAGTCAGGTAATATGCAGAAAAATGCATATGCTAACGTAAAGTGTGAATAAATGCATATGTTAGCAAAGACATACAAAGATGTATTATAGTAGGGAAAATATCTTTGCAAAATGTTTACATTAGGGGAGATTGTACATAAATGCTGGTGAATTTTCATTAAAGCCTTTGCGGGGGGGATGCAGAGTTGTGTGCAGCTGAACTTAGATGACTGGAAGAAACTGAAATTGATAAATTTGCCCATCTCTGTCTGTGACTAACTAAGGGCACTTCTTATGCTAAAATGGAAAATTAAAAACCCAACTGAGTTTTCAGAAATAATTCAAAAATTAAAGATTTAGCAATCAGAAACACACACAAACACATAGCCCTATGATTAGGGGAAAGAGGTTTTTAAGTGTTCCATGTTCTCAAGATTTACATTTAGCTTTTATTGATATATTATAGAGAATATTGGTTTATCAGATAAAACTTTTGTTCGCTGTTCACTTCTTCAGTAATTTTTTCAAAGTTCTTATCACTTACATGGGAATTAAGGCCAAAGTACAGGTGGTGTTAATTGGGACCCCAGTGTGGCAGGGAAGGGCACTCTAACTAAGCCTTTCCCCCTCAACTTTGGATCTGCAGGGTAACCTCTCCTCCATGCAGAGGAGGGCCTGATCCTGATCATGGCTGTGGTGAGGCTAAATGGTTTAAGTTCCGAAATGCACACATCAAGGTCCCAATCCAGATCTAGGAGCCCACATTGGAAATCTGTGAACAAAAGATCTTGCACTCAATGGCAAACCACATACTTAACACCACGTGTAGCTGGGTCCGTCCTTGGTCTCATTGAACAAAATGAGACTTACTTGTGATAAACATGCACAGCATTGGGCCACATGTTCCAAGGAGAAATTATTGGGCAATAAATGTTGTATTAAGAAACAGTAAGTCAGTTTTACTTACCAGATTAAATGCTCACTAAATCTACCAAAATTGATAACTGGAAATCTTGTTTTGAAGATTAAAAACAGATTAAAAGAGCTCCAACATGGCTGTGCTGCAAACCATAACAGCAAGTCCTCGCATTTCCTCCTCATCCTTCACAGGGTGTGGAAAACCAATAAACTCTCCACGAATTGTTGGTGGCCAACCAGCCTCAAATGGGTCGTGGCCCTGGCAGGTCAGCATTTTACGGAACCTTTATCCTATTTGTGGAGGATCCCTCATAGCCGAGCAATGGGTGCTCTCAGCAGCTCACTGCTTCTACAAAAAGTGAGTACCTGATGGTTATTGCTGTGCAGCCGTTATCAAGCGTCACCTAAAAGACGGCTCAAGGGCAGGCTAATATCCTCTGCCTGCCTGTCAGCTATCTGGTGTCTCAGGTGTACAATACATTTAATGCAGAACCATGTCACTTTAAACAGTCATGGCTTCCCCCCCCAAAAAAAAAAACAACCCTGGGGACCGTAGTATGTTACAGGTGCTCAGAGCTGTTAAGAGACTCCTGTTCCCCACACAGAGCTACAGTTCTCAGAATGGTTTCAAAATCCATCCCTCTTCCCAGGGAATTGAGCTCTTGGAATTATAGTTCTCTAGGGAGTCCAGGGTTAGGGTGAGCAGCAGGAAACTCATAGGTCAGCATTGACAGATCCGTTTGTTTGTTTGTTTGTTTGTTTGTTTGTTTGTTTGTTTTGTCCTTCTATTCACAGTATGGGGTCCATGTTCCAATACAATGTCCTCCTAGGTGCCTATCAGCTCTCACACGTCTCAGATAATGCAGTGATATCTGACGTGGAGCAGATTATCCTCCACCCTGACTACTACAATGGTTTGAGTGGATCCAGTGGAGATATTGCTTTAATTAAGCTGAAGTCCCCTGTGAAGTTCACCAACTACATCCTCCCCATCTGCCTGCCAGAGTCCTCTACACAGTTCCCTTTGAACGAATCCTGCTGGGTGACCGGATGGGGAAATATTCAATATGGAGGTGAGGGGTGTTCTTCAAAATGCTCATTCACACTCTGGGGCTCATCCAGATTCATCCCAAAACTTTTGCAGACACAAGCAGTATTGAAAGTGGAACCCATTGAAACTGCCCCAAGACCTTCATGAGCACAAATCCTCAGGAATGCACAATAAAAATGCTATCTGGAAGGCCCCAGTTATAGTCCTTCTTGAGCATTCAGTCTGATTTGGTTACGTGGCAGCTCCAAGGGTTTAGGTATAAGCAATTTTTGTGCATGCAAAAAAATTTGTGCACCTGGAACTGAACCCCTGTGCAAGATGTGATCATACTGCACTTGGAATCCCCAAACATTCTGGTACGTGCTTGAATCCCTTCCACAAAATGCTGACACTCTGGAGGCAAATTCAGTACAAATGGGAGAGAAATTTGATTCTGTTTTCATTTAAAGACAAACCTACCTAAATTGCACTTTCTCCAAACCATACTCAAATTAAAATATTGTCACTCTCTGAATTTTGCCATGCAGCTCTGCAGCCAAGTAATGTGTACACAAATTCTGGGGTAAAGTCTGTTTAAAAATGAATGGGTTAATGAAAATGCATGCATATATTAGGAGAAAATTGAACTGGGGTGCGCCTGGGTTTTCATGAGGATTTCTTTTTTTAAAATGCAATTTTTTAAATTTCCCAAGGTCCAACTCTACCATTAGGCAGAGTGAAGCAGGTGCCTCAGCTGGCAAGCGCTGAGAGATGTGGAACATCCATGTTATCTGACTTTCATTCCAAAGCTCTCTTGCTGCCCTTAGGTGTAGTGGAAGCCCAGCCGGCCCACCGGTGAGGCAGGCTGCAGCAGCCGCCTCAGGCAGCAGAACACTAAGAGGTAGCACCCTGCAAGGGCCCCACAGACTCCACTACTGGCAGAGAAGCAGTGGCAGTGGTGGTGACAGTTTCCAATGAGATCTGATGAGACCTCACCCAAACCTGCCATCGCTGCTGTTACCCAGGTAACAGAGGATTTGGCAGGCAGGGGGTGGCAGCAGCACTGGCACGTTCCGGTTTTCCCTCAGGAGCCAAATTGGGACATGCCACCCCTGAGTGAAATATGATGTCCCACTGCCACCTTCTGCACATCTCATGCTCTGAGGTGTAGTCAGTGCACACCCACCATGCACTCACTGCTAAAAGTCTGTGTGTCTGAATGCACTTGAATTATTCTGCCTCTGCCTTCCATGACCACTTTCCATTTCTCTCTCTCTCTCTTCCAGTGCCTTTGCCAGATCCACGAACCCTCCAGGAAGTCAAGGTGCCACTCATAAGCCGAGAAGACTGCAATATTCTCTATAACAGTCACCCAGAGCCAAGCCTGGGCTGGGATCCTATCAAGCAGGATATGATCTGTGCTGGTTACCCAGAAGGTGGGAAAGATTCCTGCCAGGTATGTTGTTCCATGACCTGTTCTTCATACAGCCATTGCAGGTGGTAGACAAAGGCAGGCTCTGGCGTGATGGCATTTGAAAATCGCCTTGTGTTATTATCTATGAACTTACATTGTGTGAATATAGTACTTGGGCATTGCTTCCTAATTTGGCCTCTAGCTAGGGAGATGGTAGCTGAAATTTTTTCAGATTCTCCCATTTTTCAAAGTGTTATTGCTTTTGTTTCATCTTAAATATTGTGATGCTGCTTCTTTGGGCAATACCCCAAATATGCAGGTGCCAGAGGCTGGCAGAATTACTAGAACTATCTTGTCCATTCATGCATGAGGTGGTAAAGATTTATTATTATTTTAAAGGTTTTTTTATTCAATTTTACAATTAACATTTACATTCAAACCAAAATCGTAATCCTAAACATATAGTAGCCCATGAATCCTAGGACTTCCCTCCATGGGTTCCATTGTTAATCTTTTTCAACTGCATCGTAGTAATGGTCGCTATTTTTCCTTAAAATCTCATTCTTCCCATAATTCTTGTTACATTACAAGTGTTGTTAAAATCCTCCCTTTACAGTGTTCTCCCAGGTAACTTATAAATTCCCCCCATTCTTTATTGGATTTATTGCCTTGTTGATTTCTGCTCTTCCCTGTCATTTTTGCCATTTCGGCAAATAAAGATAAAGATTTAAACCAGACATTGGGAACTCGTCCACACTTCTGCTTGTCCAAGAGGTTTTCCGCTTGTCCCATGATTTCTAGGCATGAGCAGTTTTTTGTCTGTCTTGCCATGTTCCCCGGGAAAACCCACTGTTTACCGCTAACATCAATCCGCAGAAATAATTAATGGACATCCATTCCAATAATAATAATAAATTAATAATTTTTTATTTATAACCTGCCCTTCCCGGTTTAAAAACCGGGCTCATGGTGGCTAACAGCAGGTATAAAACATTGATTAAAATGAGACTTTAAAACAGCATAAAATACAACATAAAATGCAGCATCAATATCAATAACATTCAAAAATTCAGGGGTCATTGGGGGGGGCCCAGTCAGTAGACATCAAATGATCACCAGGGCTAACTGGCCAAGTTGGTCCTACTAGGACCAGCAAGGAGACCAGGGAAGAATTTAAATGTGGGGTCCCAGAAAGGATTTCTTCATAGAAGAGGAAAGGGGAAAGGGAATAGAAGATCAGGCTAATTCAAATTGAAGGCCAGGTGGAATAGCTCTGTCTTACAGGCCCTGCGGAAGGAGATCAAGTCCTGCAGGGCCTAGTCTTGTAGGACAGAGCATTCCACCAGGTCGGAACCGTCACTGAAAAAGTCCTGGCCCTGGTGGAGGATAGTCTGGCTTCCTTAGGGCCCTGGACCTTTAAGCTATTGTTATTCATGGTCCTTAGGTTCCTCTGCAGGACATACCAGGAGAGGTGGTCCCGTATGTATGAGGGTCCTAGGCTGCATAGGGCTTTAAAGGTCAAAACCAGCACCTTAAACCTGACCCTGTACACCACCAGGAGCCAGTGCAGCTGGTAGAGCACTGGGTGAATATGCTCCCATGGCAAGGAGCCTGTGAGGAGCCTCACTGCAGCATTCTGCACCCGCTGGAGTTTCTGGGACAGTTTCAAGGGCAGCCCCACATAGAGCAAGTTACAGTAGTCAAGCCTGGAGGTGACCGTCACATGGATCATTGTGGCCAGGTCGGGGCGAGAAAGGTAAGGGACCAACTGCTTGATATGGTGAAGATGGAAAAATGTCGCCTTGGCTGTTGCTGCAACCTGCGCCTCCATGGAAAGGGAGGTGTCAAGGATTACACCCAAACTCTTAACGGAAGGCAATGGCACTAATTGGGCCCCGCAAGAGAAGGGAGTTGGTCCCTCATCCCCATGCCATCCCGACTCAGTCAGAGGACCTCTGTCTTTGAAGGATTTAAGTTCAGTCGGCTCCCACGAAGACATCCAGCCACAGCTTCCAAGCATCTGGTCAGTGTGTCTGGGGTCGAGTTGGGGTGGCCGTCTATCAGCAGATAGAGCTGGGTGTCATCAGCATATTGGTGAAAACCCAGCCCAAAGCTCTGGACAATCTGGGAGGGGGCGCATAAAGATGTTTTTAAAAGTGTTTACCAATTCAGTGGTAAACAGCAGGTTTTCCTGGGCGAGGGCGGCGGGACAAGCCTAGTTTGTGGATGAGCCTAGATATTGCTCAGCTACAACTCCCAACACCCCTTACCATGGGCTGGAAGGGAGGCTGGGAGGTGGAGTCCCCCATCCCTGATTATCTCGCTGATTCCAGCTGCTTCACCCAATCAAGATTCAGAGTCTGATGTCAGAGTGTTCAGCATAGATCCTCTGCTACCTCCCATCTCTTTCTCCACAGGGTGACTCTGGAGGACCTTTGGTTTGCCAGCTTGAAGGAGTTTGGACCCAGGCTGGGGTTGTAAGTTGGGGAGTTGGCTGTGCTAAAAGCAACTACCCTGGCGTCTACATTCTAGTGCCTTCCTATGCCAACTGGATCCAAGACAAGATGGGAATGAGTGGCGGAAATGAGAGTGGCGGAAATGAGAGTGGCGGAAATGGGAGTGGCGGCAAAAGTGACCAACTACACAACGCCCTTGTTGTGACATTCACTTTGGTGTCTCTTCTGCTAGGCCTTCTGTGAAAAACCAATCTATTGGTTTTCCATCTTACCTATAATTGCCGGGAATATTTAGGCTGCTGGAGGACTCTGTTTAAATCATCACATGCAGTAGATCCAGGGAAACCCACCCCTACTTCTCTCTGATTAATACAGGCATTAGCCTTTGTTGTTGTTGTTGTTTAGTCGTTTAGTCATGTCCGACTCTTCGTCACCCCATGGACCAGAGCACACCAGGCACTCCTGTCTTCCACTGCCTCCCACAGTTTGGTCAGACTCATGTTTGTAGCTTCAAGAACACCATCCAACCATCTCATCCTCTGTCGTCCCCTTCTCCTTGTACCCTCCATCTTTCCCAACATCAGGGTCTTTTCCAGGGACTCTTCTCTTCTCATGAGGTGGCCAAAGTATTGGAGCCTCAGCTTCACGATCTGTCCTTCCAGTGAGCACTCAGGGCTGATTTCCTTAAGAATGGATACATTTGATCTTCTTGCAGTCCATGGGACTCTCAAGAGTCTCCTCCAGCACCATAACTCAAAAGCATCAATTCTTCGGCGATCAGCCTTCTTTATGGTCCAGCTCTCACTTCCATACATCACTACTGGGAAAACCATGGCTTTAACTATACGGACCTTTGTTGGTAAGGTGATGTCTCTACTTTTTAAGATGTTGTCTAGATTTGCCATCGCCTTTCTCCCAAGGAGCAGGCGTCTTTTAATTTCGTGACTGCTGTCACCATCTGCAGTGATCATGGAGCCCAAGAAGGTAAAATCTCTCACTGCCTCCATTTCTTCCCCTTCTATTTGCCAGGAGGTGATGGGACCAGTGGCCATGATCTTCGTTTTTTTGATGTTGAGCTTCAGACCATATTTTGCTCTCTCCTCTTTCACCATCATTAAAAGGTTCTTTAATTCCTCCTCACTTTCTGCCATCAAGGTTGTGTCATCTGCATATCTGAGGTTGTTGATATTTCTTCCGGCGATCTTAATTCCAGTTTGGGATTCATCCAGCCCAGCCTTTCGCATGATGTATTCTGCATATAAATTAAATAAGCAGGGAGACAAAATACAGCCTTGTCGTACTCCTTTCCCAATTTTGAACCAATCAGTTGTTCCATATCCAGTTCTAACTGTAGCTTCTTGTCCCACATAGAGATTTCTCAGGAGACAGATGAGGTGATCAGGCACTCCCATTTCTTTAAGAACTTGCCATAGTTTGCTGTGGTCGACACAGTCAAAGGCTTTTGCATAGTCAATGAAGCAGAAGTAGATGTCTTTCTGGAACTCTCTAGCTTTCTCCATAATCCAGCGCATGTTTGCAATTAGCCTTACCACATTTCAATTCCTTTGTAACCATTTGATCATAGCTTAAACATTTATTATTAAATTTTGATCCCACCTTCCCTCCATGGAGCTGAAGATGACATACATGGCTCTCCTCCTCCCCATTTTCATCCTCACAACAACCCTGGGAGGTAGGTTCAGCTGAAAGTGTATGACTGGCTCAAGGTCACCCACAGGCTGACTGGAAATATGAACCCTGGTCTCCTAAGTCCTAGTCCAACACTCTAACCATGACACCTTACTGTTACACCCAAAGAACCCCAGGATTGTCACCTGGAGAAGAAGCTGAGAATTTTCCATCCATGGACATCAGTTGGAAGCTATGATATTTCAGACTTCTACAGTGATGCTGGAAGTGATGCCTGTCGTTCCGTTCTTAAAAGAAAATTAACATTTTTAATTGACATTTTTAAATGATGTGGAAACAAGTGGTAGATAAATTCAGCCCCTGGGAGAAGACATAATAAACTACGAACTTTAAATTGAATTTCTTCAGTCACTTGATCTTTTATTTGTGATGCTTCAGAGTTTTAAAAATTATCAATAAATTATTATAAAATACTTGCAATAGTTTTATTGCTTTATTCTTTGTATGATTATTATTTTTTCTTCTTTTCTCTTTTAATATTTGTATGTATACACAAAGAGAAAGAGAATGTTTTTATGTACGGTCTCTGTCTGCTTCAACTACCTCCATTTCTTCATGCTTTGCTCAGCTTTTTCCTCTTCTTTCTGCATCCTGCATGCATGTATATATAGTGGTTTCTTGGTTCTCGAACTTAATCTGTTCCGGGAGTCTGTTCGACTCCCGAAACCATTCAAAAAGTAAAGCACAGCTTCCAACTGGCTGCAGGAGCTTCCTGCACTCAATTGAAAGCCATGGAAGCCACATCAGACATTTGGCTTCTGAAAAACGTTCGCAAACCAGAACACTCACTTCCTAGTTTGCAGCGTTCAGGAGCCGATTTGTTCAGGAGCCAAGCTGTTCAAGTACCAAGGTACCACTGTACTGAGTTAGACCATTGGCCCAGATGTTGTGGGAAGGGGCAGAGGCTAACAGAATCACTAGAACTACCTCGCCAGTAAATGCTGGAGATACTAAAGATTTAAACCAGACACTGGTAACCTCTGACCCTCCATTGTTGCTGGTCAACAACTCCTACCATCCCTGACCATGGACCGTTGGTTTGCTGACCAACAGCAAACAGCTCAGCCGGCCTGCTTTTACAGGCATCCGGCTGTCAACATTGTAACAACAGCCCAGGGTTTCCCACCTAAATTAACTTACATGGACCTGAGTGAAAACTATATACACAATACCCCCTGGTGGCCAGGGTGAGATCTTCAATACATAACACCCCTCCTCACCGAGATAAGGCATAGTTACAATCATAGTAGTTCCCTTGCATACAGCAATACCCTTATTGATTCAGTAAGGCACATACGTATATCGATTCCAATTTTACAAATTTGCAGGCATAACTGTTTCACTATCAACTATATTGTCCGTAAGACTCACCACCACATATTAATTGACCCTATTCACTATACAGCTTTACATGTGCAGTTTGTCGGGTGAACATAGTCTTTTAAATAAGCTGGGTGCTTGGAAACCCTGCCAGACCGCCAAGGGCCAGTATGAGAGTCTGGGTGGCCGCCCGATTCTGGCTGGGACTGTGGTGTGACCAAATGTGGCATTTAGCCCAAGTTCCCTGGCTCCCCTGCTGTCGAAGAAACCACCACGAGCGGACTCGGTGGACGGTCAGGTATGGCAGTGGTCCGAGTCTCTGGAGAGCCAGGCAGACCCACTGAAACGGCTTGGCTCGGCTCCACACCTGCAGGTTGTAAGGAAGATAAAGGTGAAGCCTTGCCTTCCATTAGCATCCGCTCCGGAGCTGGGGTCACAGTTGGGGGCACAGCGGTTGTGTCCATATCCCCAACCCTGCGCCTTAGCTGGTCTATGTGCCGGCGCCACAAGCGTCCGTTCACGAGTGCCACCTGGTACGAATGGGGCCCCATGACTCCCACTACCGTGGCCGGCACCCAAGGAATGTCCCCCACAAAGTTCTGGACAAAAACCTGATTCCCCGGAATAAAGGACCGTGGTGCGTTAGTACAGCCTGGGGGCTCGGCCATACCAAAGTCCGGGTGCAGCCGGTCAAGCAGAGACCTGAGGCGGTGGCCCATAAGCAGTTCAGCCGGGCTCCACCCTGTGTCTACATGAGGGGTGATGTGCTGCACAAGTAAGTATTCAGGGACCTGATCATGCCAGTCCCTCTGTTCCAGGCACACCAGTGCCTCTTTTGCTGAGCACACCATTCTCTCTGCCTGCCCGTTGCTGGCCATGTGAAATGGTGCCATTAGGGCATGGTGGATGCCCAGCCCCAAAAGGTACCTTTCAAAGGTGTCTGACATGAACTGAGGTCTGTTGTCCGAGATGAGAACATCAGGACACCCATGAGTTGCAAATAGGCTCCACAGCACCTGGATGACAGCTTCAGTAGTGGTGGAGGGCATCAGGGCCACCTCCAGCCATTTGGAATAGGCGTCCACCACTACCATAAAGGTCTGGCTGTGAAAGGGGCCGGCAAGATCGATGTGCACCCTCAACCAGGTGCCCTTAGCTGCCGATGGTGCAGGTCTCAACTCTTGGCAAGCTTGACAGGAGTCAACCCAAGAACTGATGGCATCTTCCATGTTAGGCCACCAGATGTAACACCAAGCCAATGCCTTCATTTTGACGATCCCAGGGTGGTCAATGTGCAGAGCCCCAAGGACGCGTTGGCGGAGTCTTTGGGAAATCATGACTCAGTCTCCCCACAGTAGGCAGCCGCGGTGAGCCGAGAGCTCGTGCTGTCTGGTTGCAAATGGCTGGAACTCTGGCGCGAAAGACGTTTCCAGCCACCCCCTCCACACCCTGTTGAGTACATGGTTGATGGTGCAGTCCTGGGCAGATGCGGAGACTGCATCAGCTGCTGATACTGGTGCTGCTGGGAGGTCTGGAATTTGGAGGAGCGATGAAGCAGGAGCTGGGTCTTCCACAAATGCTGGGAGAGGGCAATGACTGAGAGCATTGGCGTGGCCCATCAATTTTCCAGGGCAATGGACGAGCTGGTAGCTGTAAACTGCCAGAAAGACAGTCCATCACAGCATACGTGGCGAGAGGACCGGTGGAGTTGGTCTGCGAGGAGGCCCAGGAGCGGCTTGTGGTCAGTGATGAGGTCAAATGTTCTCCTGTAGAGGTATTCGTGGAACCTCTTTACTCCAGCCACAAGTGCCAGTGCCTCCTTGTCAAGCTGGCTGTAATTCCATTCGGCCGGAGACAGCGTCCAGGAGAAGTAGGCAAGCGGTGCTTCCCTACCATCTGGAAACCGGTGACTGAGGACGCTGCCGATGCCAAAGGGCGAGGCGTCACAGGCAAGGACCAGCGGCCTGGCTTCACTGTACTGTACCAGCGCACTGTCCAATGAGAGGAGGGCTTTGGCTGTGTTGAAGGCCGTAGTTTCCCAATGACCTACATGCTGAGGAGGTGGTATAGAGGCTCGGCTAGTGTTGCTTTGTGGGGCAGGAACATGTTGTAGAAGTTCAGCAGCCCCAGGAACACCTGCAACTCCACCTTGCTTTTTGGAACCTGGGCCTGCTGAATGGCCCGGATCTTGGATGCAGTCGGGTGAAGACCGGAGGCATTGATAAGGTAGCCCAGAAACTCCACCTGCAGAACAGCAATCTGGCACTGTTCTTTTTTCACCTTGAGCCCAGCCTCCTGGAACCTGGTCAGCACAGTGCGGATGCGCTCGAACAGCTCCTGTGGATACCAACACATCATCGAAATACGGCACCACGCCTGGAAGCCCCTGCAGGAGACGCTCCATAGGCTTTGAAAGATGCCAGGAGCC